GTACCTTTACCATCTTCTAGAAACATTAATGTTTGCCTTCCACAGTTAGAGCAACTGTGTACATGGAATTGATTTTTTTTAAACAACTTCACTGAGTATAATTTACATGTAAAGCTCACCTATTATAAGTGTGCCATTTGATGATTTATAGTAAATTTACAGAATTGTATAAGCATCTTTACATCCCAGTTCTAGAATATTTCCATCACTTACAAAGTTTCCCCATGCTTATTTGCAGTCAGTTCCTGCCATCTGTGTTCTTTCTCTATGAATCTGCCATTTTTAGAAATTACGTATATAATGGAGTCATATATAGTCTTTTGGTTGGGTTCTTTCACGTAGTATGTTTTTGAGGTTCACCCATGATATGTAATGTGTATCATAAGTTCATTCCTTTTTATTATTGAATAGTATTCCCCACTATACCATATTCTTTTTATACTACCTGGAATTGATCTTTGTGTGTGACATAAAGTATGGTTCATATGTTTTTTTTTTTCTTTTTAGGTATCTGATTGTCCCAGCACTGTTTGTTGAAAAGACTCACCTCCTGTTTCACAGAGTCGCCTTTACTGTGAATCATTTTCCTTACGTTTGTTGGTCTCTAAATAAGTCTCAGTACTCTTCTCTTGCTAGATTCTAGAGCTGTTCTGTCCAATATGGTACCCTTCTTACATTTTAATTTAAGTTGCTGGATGAGATGGTGCATACCCATAATCCCAGCTACTTGGGAGGCAGAGGCAGGGGGGTTGCTGGAGCCCAGGAGCTCAAGACCAACCTGAGCAACATAGTGAGATCCCAAATAATTTTTCTTTTTTTTGAGTTGGAGCCTCACTCTGTCGCCCAGGCTGGCCATGCTCACGGCCACTGCAGCCTCAACTGCTGGGCTCAAGCAGTCTTTTCGCCTCAACCTTCCAAGTATCTGGAACTACAGGCACGCACCATCATGCCCGACTATTTTTATGATTTATTGTAGAGATGAGGTCTTGCCAAGTTGCCCAGGCTAGCCTCGAACCTGTGGGCTCAGGCAATCCTCTCTCGCCTCGGCTTCCCCAAGTGCTGGGATTACTGGCTTGAGCCACTATGCCTGGCCTCCAAATAATTTTTCAATAGAAAAAATTAAAATATGCAACCCTAGTAGCCACATCTCATGTGCTCAGTAGGCAGATGTGACTGGTGGCTCCTGTAATGGCAAGCACAGATGAAGTACATCTCACCATTGCGAAAAGGTCTACAATCTAGAGCAGCTGTTACCAAACTTTTTCTTCGAGGGCTCAATAATGAATGTTTTAGACTTTTATGCCCTGTGGTTTCTAGGGCACCTACTTTACTGCCATTATAATGGGAAAGCAGCCACAGACTGTGTAAAGGAAGGGGCGTGTTTGTGTTTTGATACGGCTTTATTTATAAAAAGAGACAGCTGGCCAGTGGTTGTAGTTTGCTAGCCCCCAAAATCTGAAGTGTTTGGGCTCTTCTTTGTGCTTTGCCTTGCCATGTTAACATTAGAACTGACTTGTTATATTCTACCTCCCTATAGTTAGAGGTTGTCAAAGCCATAGAGACAGAAGTAGAATGATGGCGCCAGGAGCTGGAAGACAGGAATGGGAAGTTAGTGTTTCATGGGGACAGTTTCTGTTTGGGGAGATGCAGAAATTATGGAGATGGGTGTTGGTGATGGTTACATAACATTATGAATGCTTTTTTTGAGTCAGGATCTCACCCTGTTGCCCAGGCAGGAGTGCAGTGGCAGGATCATGGCTCATCATAGCCTCAAACTCCTGGGCTCAAGTGATCCTCCAGCCTCAGTCTTCCAAGTAGCTGGAACTACAGGTGTGCACCACCGTGTCTGGCTAATTTTTTTATTCTTTGTAGAGATGAGGTCTTACTATGTTTTTTCCTAGGCTGGATTTGAACTCTTGGGCTCAAGCAATCCTCCCGCCTCAGCCTCCCATAGTGTTGGGATTATAGGCATGAGCCACCATGCCTGACCTATGAATGCATTTAATATCATGAACTATACGCTTAAGAGTGGTTAAGATGGTTTATGTTATGTATCTTTCACCACAGTAGAAAAAGGGGAAAGTTTTACTTCTGTCAACCTTCAAAGAAAAGTAGATATTTTGACTGGGATTGTATTGAGTCTCTAGATCAATTTGAGAATTGATATTTGTGTATTGTTCATTTCCTGAACATGGTACATGTTTATTTATTTATTTGGGTCTTCTTTAATTTCTCTTAATGTTTTCTGCATGGGAGACATGCACATCTTTTGTTAGATTTATTGCTAAAATTTTAATATTTTTGATGCTCTTATAATGGTGAATATTTTTTCCTTCAATTTTATGTTTATTTTCTGTTCAATTCTTTTATTTCTGTTTCTTTCCTTATTTCCTTGATCACAGCAGGGAATAGCCCCCTCAGCTGTGGGCAGCACAGCTGGGATAGTGAGCAGTCCAGGCTCTGGGCTTCTGTGAGTGAATATGGGCATTGCATCTCTCCGTTGATGGGCCCCTCCACCCAAAACAAATAAATGGCCTCAGAATAGTGAAAACAGGAAACTGAAAGAACCCATGTGATGCTGGGTTCTCTCTTTCTATCCTGTTCTTGAAGGTGATGTGATGGGCTGAGTCATCTTTTGTTGTTACTAACTCTCAGGAGTTAGGATTTTAGAGAAATTGTGGCCCAAGAGAATGTGAGATTTGTGTTAGTTTCCTCTGGATGCTGTAACAAATTATTACAAGCTCAGAGACTTAAAACCACACCTGTGAAGCCGGGCTCGGTGGCTCAGCCTGTAATCCCCTGCCTTTGGGAGGCTGAGGTGAGCGGATTGCCTGAGCCCGCGGGTTCGAGACCCGCCTGGGCAGCGAGACCTCATCTCCACAATAAAATAAAAATAAAAAATCAGCCGGACATGGTAGCGCATGCCTGTAATTCTGGCTGCTCGGAAGGCTGAGGCGGAAGGATCGCCAGAGCCCAGCAGGTCAAGGCTGCGGTGGCCGGGAGCAGCCACTGCACTCCAGTCTGGGGCGACAGAGTGAGACTCCAACTCAA